CATGATAACGCCCCCACGGCTGAAAGGGCGAGCATGTTTGGTGAGACGGGGATTCGAATCCGCGACATGCAGATTGTGAGTCGAGTGCCCTAACCACCTGGCCATGCCGAGCTTCAATATTGAGCCATTTGCTTACAACAAAATATCACGTCATTTCAACAGCCACTCTTACCTATTGCGTCTATCAAAATATCTCCCTTCACTGAACATATTCGACATTTCAACTGTAAAGACTTTATATTATGTGACGGTCAATCCCACTTTTTTGTTGTAAAAGAGTAGGACAAAATTTGGCGGATGAGTGGTGATTATTAGATGTTTTTCCTCTATTACATCACTTCTAAATTAGGGACGGCTAGTGCGTGTAACCCTCGACTAGCTTTGCATGAAATTCAACAAAAACAAACAAGTAAAATATTTTAACTGCAATATAATTTCAATGAAAGCTTGATAAGTTAAACTGCTGGAAGAAGCTCATCACAAGGGAAGAATTCTGAACTAAATTGTTCTTAAGATAAACATATTCATGTGATACGAACGCTTAAAAAATAAAGCACGGAAAGGGACCGATATTTCAGTTCAAAGCAATTTTTTTAGTGATATATGGTTAGTTTTATTTTTGAACCTAGTTAAACAATTATATTGTTCTGATTGCAACTTATATCATCCCTACAAAGTTACGTTATTTACAGTTTTGCTTGTTTTAGGATCCTAAATTTTGAGTTGTAAGTCCGTAAACCTACTGCTATCCCAATGTTATTTACAGAATAATATCATATGCACAAAGATAAAGTTCGAAAGACTTTTGAAACATAAATATTAAGAAAGGGAATACACTTCTCTGAATTATGAATCATTCGTCATCTGTTTAACTGTTCTTTTGTATTATGATATTTGTTTTGCCGCTGTTGTTTTCATCTTACTTTCATTTGTAACACTTACTTGCATTATTTAGATTTAATAAATTCATAAAATTTGTACTCAGCATATAAGTTGGTACGTTTTAGTTATTCCACAATCTTCTTAATTTACTATATTATTGCATACATTTTTTGGCTGGTCTCTATCCTGTTTTAATTTTGAGTGTTTTTGTTTCGTTGCTATGTGTTCGTTACCTATACTCTTCAGGCACTTTTATTTATGCACTTTTAGTTTGTTTAAATGATCTTTAATTATTTTATGTTATATTTATTCTCGCGCTCTACAACACACTTGGAAATTTGCATATGAACGGAATTATTAACTGTTTATAAATTATACAGATTTTTCTAACTCATATTGGATCTTATATTAATATGTTATAAGCATTATATCTAAATACGTTAACGTTTTATTGAACCAGTATAAATAAATGTACAATTAATTAAATTAAGTAATATAATTCTTGTCAAAGCTCCCAGGGCTAAAATGACATATATAACAAGCGTGTAGAAATTAGAGTTTTGGCTGGGCAAAATATTGAATGTAAAATATAAATAAAGTATAGAAAGATTCAATGTTTCAGTAGAAGCTGTATATAAAAAATGAAAAGGGTACATTAAACTGGCACTGATAATAATAGAAGAGGTCTAAAGAGAAAAACGAAACTCTTGAAAAGTGGTAGTAATTATCTCAGACTATTTTCCGTAGGAATTAATAGAAGGTCGAGTAAAGATCGTGCCAACGACCTTGCTGTAGATACAGACGTGAATGCTACCTCGAGAATAGTAAAATACACATTAGCATGAAATACTCTCAGTGAACGTGTTGCTGCTCGAAAACCACTGCTGAGAAAAGGTAACCAAACCAAGCGGATGAAATGGGTATCGGACCACAAACTATGGAATGAATAAAGCTAGAAGCATGTGCTCTTTACAGCTGTAGTTCGAACTGTTCAACTACAATCGAAGACAGTTTGATGGCATCATAGTTGTTATTTATTAGAATTTCAAATGGTTTGAAAGTAAAACTGAGCTAAATGATAATTTAAATTTAGTAATTTAATTGTACTTTGGATTTAGTAGTTAAGTAAAAGCCGATATATAGTCAGTTTATGATATTTCCTAACAAGATTGATACACTCAGTTTTCTTTTATACAAATATGTTTTAATATACAAACAATAATACAATTTACAATAACAGTTATTACAAATAGTTATTAGAAACAATGTGTTTTATATACAAAAGTTTTACAAACTTACAAGCAATATAAATATAAATTCTAGTCTGTTGTTAACGAATTATTAAAATGCGTTAGTTTTAGTATCGTAAAACTCTATGATTGTGTAAGTTGTTCATCATCAGTTTTATTTGATATTTCTATTTAGGGTTGCAGCTTAAGATATATGTTTAATGTGGAGTCAGAGTAAATTGTAATTGAAGATTTTTCTAATCATCAAGAAATTGTTTTATTTATAAATGTTTTTAACGCCCCCTTTTATTCACAGAGCTCTAGTGGATGACCTCTAAAGCACGTACTGATAAAGGGCTATTACCTGTATCTCGGTGCCAGGAATTGAAAAATTAAGTGTAAAATATTTGAATTTTTTTTGTGTTTCGAAAACACATTTATTAAGTTTCGAAATGCAATCCAGTTTTGTTTTCAGAAGAATTTTACCTTCTGCTGTTCGTAAGTTCGTTTATAAATGTACCACAGAAAATATAACATTTTATTTTCGAAATGTGAGAAGTTGAATCCAATCTCTTATGCTGTTTCTAAACCTTTGGCTCTAACTAAGAAATTTGCTTTACTAAATTTAATGTAACGTAGACTTTACTTTTAGTATTATCTAAATGACTTCAGTAATATTGTAGTTAATATGATTCTCTATAGATTAACATCATTGTAAGTTGTTATAGTAGTTCAGCCAGTGTAACTTGCACTTGCAACAGTAACACTAACAGTGCTGTAAATTGTAATTATCGTACACTGATACTGCTAGTGCTACAAAATTACATATACTACTAATGACACTGTAAATTGGTCATTTCAATAAATACGTGTCTATCAACCTATTTATATATTTAATCATTCTTTTATCGTTTAACTGTACTGTAAAGTAGGTCTAACAACGTAGTAATACTCATAGTACTAATTGTTGCCTATTATTTTTGTCATTATAAACATAAATTGTTGATACTCATACTCTGAATATAACATTATTTATAATAATAATACTAGCTATTAATTTCTTCAGTTTTAATTGTTATACAGAATGAGCCCAATTTAAAATGATTTCAGATATTTAGCTTGTGAGGTAGATTACCTCACAAACTAATTCAAAGTAATTGCAGCTAAAGTGTTAGACTATATTAATTTACTATTGTAATTTAGATTAACAATTTAACCATAGTGTGATGTACCTACCTGATGATTTGTTTAAAGTACTGAAGTTTATGATATGATCACTTTGTTAACTCTTCCAAAGTCTACAGTCTATCGAGTCTGTCTCATTTGCTTAAAAAAATCCAACCTTTTTGACCTGTTACATGTTTATTGAATAAATTACACTTAAGAGAAATATAGCATGAAACTGTTCAATAGTTGTATAAATTATAACTGTAGAAGAATATAAGTTATAACCAACTTTGATATCTTAGTACTATGGAAGGAACTCTGAAATAAATTTTTTTTTATTTAAGATTATCGTTATACATGTGATCTGTAATACTGAAAAGGGAAATGTCAAACATGTTCTAGTACACAACCAGTGAAATTAACATATCTTTATTACTAATAGTGGTGCAATTTTCTGTTGGAATGTTATAATCGATATTGTACTTTGAATAATGCCAGTTATATTTTGAATGAAAATATATGTATGAAAGTTGAATTTTACATCATGCCTGAAATTTATATATGTATCCTCAAAATAAGAACATGAGTTAGAAAAAAAAAAAAAAAGTATCAAAAGGTCATTTTACTCATTAAGATCACCAAAGATCACAACAAATTAAATATAACCTTTCACATTCACTTACAAATCCAACAAAAGTTTACAAAAGGTAAAAACTCTGTCCCGGTTGACACCTGGCTAAAGCTTAGTGTCCTGGACCCGGTATTCAATCAAATTTTATTACCCGTACATCCTTATTAAAAAGTGATAAATTCAATTTAAAATGCCTATAAATAGCATTAAGAAATGTGTGTTCCTATTTTTTTAAATACAGCTAGTTACTCAGCTTTTATTACTTTTATTATGATTTTATGCAGTGAACATTTTTACCCACCTTACTTCATAGCCTAGTATGTATATACAACTCAAGCTGGTTCAAATGGTTGTGTGGTTTTACTATTAGAGGAGTATAACTGAACCTCTTGTGCATCAGTTCAAGCCAAACAATATTTCATGTGGCATATGTGTAATACATGAATGCTTATGGTGTATTTAAGTGTTTTACACTCACTAAAAAGAAACCTATCATTCTATAGGTATTTGGAGAACTTGTGGCATTTCACCACAATTTAATTCTTTGTAGTGTAAGCTGACACTGGGCAGCTGGTATACAATTGAATAGAGTTGTTTAACAACAAGTAAATACTTGGAATGATCTATTCTTTCATTGGGGGTGTGGCTTGAGCCAGACTAGTTTTGGAGAATTCCACTCCTCATCAGTAACCCAGGACACTACCATCAATGAAATAACAGACCAAACCAAACCTTTATAGTAGTGAGGTATCGAAAATCGAAATGG